ACCCTCCTTCTCCTCATCACTTACCCCAACCAGGTGACCTCCCCAAAACCCTGACCCTCCCCTTCCCCTTACCTGACCCAACACCTAACACTTACCTGACCCGACACCTAACACTTACCTGACCCAATGCCTAACACTTACCTGACCCAACACCTAACACTTATCTGACCCAACACCTAACACTTACCTGACCCAATGCCTAACACTTACCTGACCCAACGCCTAACACTTAATCTGACCCAACACCTAACACTTAATCTGACCCAACTCCTAACACTTACCTGACCCAACACCTAACACTTACCTGACCTAACACTTACCTCACCCAACACTTACCTGACCCAAGACCTAACACTTACCTGACCCAACACCTAACACTTACCTGACCCAACACATAACACTTACCTGACCCAACACCTAACACTTATCTGACACAACACCTAACACTTACCTGACCCAACACCTAATACTTACCTGGACCCAACACCTAAAACTTACCTGACCCAACACCTAACACTTACCTGACCCGACACCTAACACTTACCTGACCCGACACCTAACACTTACCTGACCCAACACCTAATACTTACCTGGACCCAACACCTAAAACTTACCTGTCCCAACACCTAACAATTACCTGAACCCAACACCTAACACTTACCTGACCCAACACCTAACACTTACCTGACCCAACACCTAACACTCACCTCACCCAACACCTAACACTTACCTCACCCAACACCTAACACTTACCTGACCCAACACCTAACACTTACCTGACCCGACACCTAACACTTACCTGACCCAACACCTAATACTTACCTGATCCGACACCTAACACTTACCACACCTAACACTTACCTTACCCAACACCTAACACTTACCTGACCCAACACCTAACACTTACCTGGAACCAACACCTAAAACTTACCTGGAACCAACACCTAACACTTACCTGGAACCAACACCTAACACTTACCTGACCCAACACCTAACACTTACCTCACCCATCACCTAACACTTACCTGACCCAACACCTAACACTTACCTGGACCCAACACCTAACACTTACCTGACCCAACACCTAATACTTACCTGGACCCAACACCTAACACTTACCTGGACCCAACACCTAACACTTACCTGGACCCAACACCTAACACCTACCTGGACCCAACACCTCACACTGGGTAACATAACACTTGCACATGCGCGTCGCAGGTAATGTCTCCCGACTCTCTGCAGCTGCGTATGCTCGGCTCAGCGTGCCTTGTGTTGGAGGTGAATGGAGAGATCCCGAGCGCCGGCGATGTTTCTACACCTGAGGTTACTTCCCCTTTAAGGGATTATTATCAATGTTTCCATCGAGGTCCAATCAGCGGCGTCCTCTGTACTGCGCTGCTGTATATGGCGGAGATATATGTCAGGAATGTGAGTCCTCATCCACTATCAATACACCGGGTTCTGCTCGCTGGTTGTGATTGGAGTAGAACCGGTTTTTCCAGCCAATCAGCCGTCACCTCTGTGTAGAGCAGGAAAGGTACACCGCTGTATCTCCGAAACTGACCCCCGGCACACGGGACCGGGGAAGTGGTACTGTGCAGAGTCCATACATACAGAATAAGAACTGATACCGAGAATGACACCCGGCATACGGGACAGGGGAAGTGGTACTGTACAGAGTCCATACATACAGAATAAGAACTGATACCGAGAATGACACCCGGCATACGGGACAGGGGAAGTGGTACTGTACAGAGTCCATACATACAGAATAAGAACTGATACCGAGAATGACACCCGGCATACGGGACAGGGGAAGTGGTACTGTACAGAGTCCATACATACAGAATAAGAACTGATACCGAGAATGACACCCGGCATACGGGACAGGGGAAGTGGTACTGTACAGAGTCCATACATACAGAATAAGAACTGATACCGAGAATGACACCCGGCATACGGGACAGGGGAAGTGGTACTGTACAGAGTCCATACATACAGAATAAGAACTGATACCGAGAATGACACCCGGCATACGGGACAGGGGAAGTGGTACTGTACAGAGTCCATACATACAGAATAAGAACTGATACCGAGAATGACACCCGGCATACGGGACAGGGGAAGTGGTACTGTACAGAGTCCATACATACAGAATAAGAACTGATACCGAGAATGACACCCGGCATACGGGACAGGGGAAGTGGTACTGTACAGAGTCCATACATACAGAATAAGAACTGATACCGAGAATGACACCCGGCATACGGGACAGGGGAAGTGGTACTGTACAGAGTCCATACATACAGAATAAGAACTGATACCGAGAATGACACCCGGCATACGGGACAGGGGAAGTGGTACTGTACAGAGTCCATACATACAGAATAAGAACTGATACCGAGAATGACACCCGGCATACGGGACAGGGGAAGTGGTACTGTACAGAGTCCATACATACAGAATAAGAACTGATACCGAGAATGACACCCGGCATACGGGACAGGGGAAGTGGTACTGTACAGAGTCCATACATACAGAATAAGAACTGATACCGAGAATGACACCCGGCATACGGGACAGGGGAAGTGGTACTGTACAGAGTCCATACATACAGAATAAGAACTGATACCGAGAATGACACCCGGCATACGGGACAGGGGAAGTGGTACTGTACAGAGTCCATACATACAGAATAAGAACTGATACCGAGAATGACACCCGGCATACGGGACAGGGGAAGTGGTACTGTACAGAGTCCATACATACAGAATAAGAACTGATACCGAGAATGACACCCGGCATACGGGACAGGGGAAGTGGTACTGTACAGAGTCCATACATACAGAATAAGAACTGATACCGAGAATGACACCCGGCATACGGGACAGGGGAAGTGGTACTGTACAGAGTCCATACATACAGAATAAGAACTGATACCGAGAATGGCACATGGGACCGGGGAAGTGGTACTGTGCAAAGTCCATACACACAGAGTAAGAACAGATACCGAGAATGAAACCCGGAATACGGGACAGGGGAAGTGGTACTGTGCAGAGTCCATACATACAGAATAAGAACAGATACCGAGAATGACTCCCGGCATACGGGACAGGGGAAGTGGTACTGTGCAGAGTCCATACATACAGAATAAGAACAGATACTGAGAATGACACCCGGCATACAGGACAAGGGAAGTGGTACTGTGCAGAGTCCATACATACAGAATAAGAACAGATACCGAGAATGACACCCGGCATACAGGACAAGAGAAGTGGTACTGTGCAGAGTCCATACATACAGAATAAGAACAGATACCGAGAATGACACCCGGCATACAGGACAAGGGAAGTGGTACTGTGCAGAGTCCATACATACAGAATAAGAACAGATACCGAGAATGACACCCGGCATACAGGACAAGGGAAGTGGTACTGTGCAGAGTCCATACATACAGAATAAGAACAGATACCGAGAATGACACCCGGCATACAGGACAAGAGAAGTGGTACTGTGCAGAGTCCATACATACAGAATAAGAACAGATACCGAGAATGACACCCGGCATACAGGACAAGAGAAGTGGTACTGTGCAGAGTCCATACATACAGAGTAAGAACAGATACCGAGAATGACACCCGGCATACAGGACAAGGGAAGTGGTACTGTGCAGAGTCCATACATACAGAGTAAGAACAGATACCGAGAATGACACCCATCATACAGGACAAGAGAAGTGGTACTGTGCAGAGTCCATACATACAGAGTAAGAACAGATACCGAGAATGACACCCGGCATACGGGACAGGGGAAGTGGTACTGTGCAGAGTCCATACACACAGAATAAGAACAGATACCGAGAATGACACCCGGCATACAGGACAAGGGAAGTGGTACTGTGCAGAGTCCATACACACAGAATAAGAACAGATACCGAGAATGACACCCAGCATACAGGACAAGAGAAGTGGTACTGTGCAGAGTCCATACTTACAGAATAAGAACAGATACCGAGAATGACACCCGGCATACATGACATGGGAAGTGGTACTGTGCAGAGTCCATACATACAGAATAAGAACAGATACTGAGAATGATGGAAGTGGTACTGTGCACGCAGGGATTGGGGAGTGATGCAGCTCAGGTGTCTGTGAATGAGGAAGCGTGGATTTGTCGTTGTTATCACAGCCTCTGGTGGGACCCGCCCGCCGTCTCTTTACATTCCTCGCTCACTTCCTCGTGGTGTCAGTGGTGTTGAGGACGCTGAGTTCTCCGCACGTCGCTCGGGATGGGGCTGAGTCTCTGTAAGACGTGTTGCCGGTGTTGCCCGTGCACATGCTGCCGCCGCGAGGATGTGACCCCCGGGACGCCTCCGCAGCCCGACCCCAAGAAGGCGGACAATATGAAGTCGGTGTTTTACCGGACGCACAACATGGACCCGAAGTTCCTGACCGATCTTGAGCGCCAACTCGATGGCGAGGACAACGTCACCTTCACCCACGGCAACGAAATCCCGCCCAGGGGCGGTCCTCAGTCCCCCAACGACGGCCATTCTGCGCCGCAGTTGGCCGTTCCGGTCTACACGGTGGTCCCGGGGAAGAGGAGGAGCCAGCGCCTGGAGGCCCTGCGCACCAAAGTCTCCACCCACAGCTACGCGCCGCGCTCCGACGAGGACCTGGAGGTCCACAAGGGCGACGAGGTGGAGGTCCTGGAAGAGGGCGGAGCCTGGATCTTCGCCAAGACGCTCAACGCCGACGGCGAGCCCCAAACCGGCTACATCCCGCGGACCTTCCTGGCCAACGCCGGGAGCCTGGAGGCCGAGGAGTAAGTCACTGCGCTAATTCTTTATTTGGCTTTTCTTTTCTGTGTGCGTTTGGCGCGCGCTCAGCGCATCGCGCCGCTCATAACACCCGGCAATCGCCATTGCGTTTTAGAAACCAGCTCGGCACGCGTCAGACGTGCGGCGTGAATAGTCTATAGCCGTGTGCCGCCAACTTGTAACGGGGGCCCCGGAGTGGCCCTGGACGCAGGCAGTTTGCATCCGCAGCCGGTGCGCAAATTAGATGCAGCCGACCGCGCACGGAGCGCCGCCGCAACCAGAGAATAGCGCGGGGCGCAGTTCTCAGTCGAAACAAACCCTTTTTTTTAGGTGAAAAGTGCGAGTTAGGACGCATTCCCTCCTGCAGGTTCCATGATCGCGCACACACACACAAAACCGCGTGCCGGAGACGACGTAAAACGCAGGCAGGAAGTTGGCCATTTTCTTTTACTCCGCGTTTGCTCTTATTAACCCCTTAGTGACTGAGGACTTTTTTTCGTGTTTTTCGCACCCGTGTTATATTCTACTTTTTAGGCCTGAAAATTACTTCAAACCCCCCAAACATGATATATTTTCTGAAAGCCAAGACCCTGTAGAATAAAATGGCGGCAGTTTAAAAATGTTATGTTGCGCGATATTACCGCAACTCCTTATCAAACCTCACAATTTAGTGAAAAATACGCCTAAATGCCCCGAAACACAATAAAATACCAGCGTTGTTTATAAAATATGAAAGACGAGGTGACAACGAGTAGATTGATACCCGACATGCCCGGGTTAAAAACCGCGTGCGTCCGTGAAACGGCGGCAAAATTCAGTACCCCAAAAAGTCCATAGACGACGCTTTAAAAGCCCCCACAGGTCATCAGTTTAGAGATACCCAAAAAATACTGGCCCCAGAATTATCGCTCTCGCTCCGGCGTGCGCGGCGATACCCAACATGAGTAGCGCGATCGTCGGTTTCATACGTAGGCGCGCCCGACGCGTGTTTACGTGAAGACGCGCGTATATTTTCTGAAAGCCAAGACCCTGTAGAATAAAATGGCGGCAGTTTAAAAATGTTATGTTGCGCGATATTACCGCAACTCCTTATCAAACCTCACAATTTAGTGAAAAATACGCCTAAATGCCCCGAAACACAATAAAATACCAGCGTTGTTTATAAAATATGAAAGACGAGGTGACAACGAGTAGATTGATACCCGACATGCCCGGGTTAAAAACCGCGTGCGTCCGTGAAACGGCGGCAAAATTCAGTACCCCAAAAAGTCCATAGACGACGCTTTAAAAGCCCCCACAGGTCATCAGTTTAGAGATACCCAAAAAATACTGGCCCCAGAATTATCGCTCTCGCTCCGGCGTGCGCGGCGATACCCAACATGAGTAGCGCGATCGTCGGTTTCATACGTAGGCGCGCCCGACGCGTGTTTACGTGAAGACGCGCGTGCTCGCGGGGGACTTTCAAAATGTTTTTATTATTATTTTTACATTTATTTCATTTATTGGTAATTGTAAAAACTGTTTTTTTTTACTTTACTTTAATTGCTATCACATAGGGGGGCTTACAAGCCCCCCATGTGATAGCAGGCGGTGGTGACAGGTGCTCTTTAAGGTGATGCTGGGGGTCCAAAAGCCCCCAAGTGTCACCTTTACACTCCAAATAAGCTATTGAAGTGCAGATCGCAGGCTGCAGGAGCCGACCAATGACAGCTCAGGGACAGGAAGTGATGTCATAGTACGGGGAGGGGAGCGGTGAACCGTGGTTCG